TATATTTCTCCTCCAATTTAAATAAGGCCTAATGCACACATGAACAGCCATATGGTTAGAAATTACTCTCTTAGACAAAGATTGATGTGTATCCAAAATAACATATACTTAGTTTTCTTCTCTGCCCTCTAAAGTCTAGGATCATGCCCATTGGGCTGTGTGGTAACTTAGACGCCTAGCATTAGCCTGTGAGGTCACCCAGGAGATGGGCAAAGCTTTCCTTCTTGTGCCCCCAAACTTGAAGACATGTGATCATCTCTGAAATAACTGTCTCAGTTCCTGGTTGACTTTCATGTCTATTCCATTTAGACATCAAATATTAATTTTGTTTGAATCAAACCAAAAGGGATAAAAGAGGAGCTTCACAGTGAAGTATGTTCACTGAGTGGTCTCAGTATGGAGCTGGAGAAAGGGTGACCAGCTTTCGAGATTACTGCTATACCTGAATAAGGTGCTATTAGATTACCTTAAAAAGGTTTAACAGAACCTTTGAACCTCAAATACAATATAGCTCAGGCTAGGAGGGGGGGAGGACCTTTCTGCCTGTACTCTACAAAGACAGTGTTGTTTTTCCAGCACGAATGCACTGCTGTCGAAATCCTGCTTTGCTAAACTACAGCGAAGACACCATGAGGGTCCTCAGGTGTGCTGAGTGGGAAAGACCACTCTTAATAAGACACTCATACTTTGTGAGTGGTTAATCTTTCCCCACAAAAAAACTGACTAGGACTGGGAGTAGAGATAAGGAAAAACTATAAGAGTTTGGCTTGAAAAAAAAAATTTATATATATATATATATATATATGGCTTTCTGTTTCCTGGTGTGCTATATGGCCTAATGACATTTAAGCAATCTGAAATGTACCAGTTTGATCAAGGATTGCTGAAAAGATCAATCAGCTCTCACTAGAAAACACAGCTAAAAGTAACAGGAGGCGTCAAAGAAAGCCATGTTTTTAACGGACACAAAATAGCAACCAAGGCCCAAAAAAAGAGAAAAGAGAACTGAGTGAACTATCAAATTTTACAAAGGTCCAGAAATATAATTACTCAAGAGCACATGACTGCAAACTCTAGGAGCAATAATGTACTTTTTTCCCCTACAAAATGAGTTATTGAAAGGGGTCATGTGGTTCTTAGCAGGCAGAAAGATGCACTTTCCCAAGGAAAGTTCACCATTAAATACATCATTTAAGACTGGATCATCTTCAGGCTATTTTTAATCTTATCATTTTGCTGCCAAAATTGGCCATTAGCCACTGATACTTAGCCTCTGGAAAACTGATGCTTTTTCATGTATTTTGTACACAGACAGAGAATAACACTGTTTTCCATGTAATCAAATGTTTTGGTAGACATGGAATAGATACAGAAAAGAGAAACTGCTTGTTGATCAACTAATAAAAAGGAAGCTACCTCTACTGGATGTGGAGAAGTAAGTTTCTGTTTTCCTAAACCACAAAGACCAAAAGACATATTTTAAAAAAAGAAGAAAAGAAAAAGAAAGGCTCACCACCATCTCATCAACAGAATGAAGCCAGTCTCCTGTTAAGCCATCTCATTCTTTTAGTGGTCCACATCTCACTCTCTTCTAAGACATGAATCTAAATATCACATTTCTCACTTTGGAGGTTGCTATCAATTTTCACTCACCATCAACTTGTGGATCTCAACCCTTTTGCTTGCAAGAGCCCCTAACCCCATTTACACAATTTAAACTGTGTTACAAGGGAATCCAATAATAACGAATGCAGCTATTAAAAGAGCCAACTCTGCCTTTCATTGGAGCAGGAAAGCTATCTTACTTTAATGGGCAATGCCAATACAAACTGCATAGCTTCCATGAAAAACATCTTGGAGAAGACCGAGCTTATCATAATTTATCTCCTATCTCTTTCATTTCAACCTACTTCTCCCAAGGGTTAGATCAGTCTAGTGGACATCTGGGAAATACTCAGTATCCTGTGAAGCCATTGGACTGGGACACTGGAGGATACAACCTATACAGTCAGTCTTTACAAGAGGTGTCCCCAGGAATGGTAGATGATGATAGCTAGCATTTCTAACTTTACTGTGTGCACAAACCATCTGTAGATCAGGTGAACCCCATATTCTGACTCCACAGCTCTGGGGGGTGGGGGGGAACCTGAGCTTCTGAATCTCTGTGAAGCTCATGCTGCTGTTCTGTGAACCACACTCTGACCAGCAGGATCTCAGACATTCCCTAGAACTGCTGCTGTCGTTTCACTCCCTCCGTCCTGCCCCTCTCTGGATGGGACACAATGCCTTATTCAGACTTGGGAATAAAGCAATGTCCCACTCTGCACCCAACTTCTTCTTCAGTCTTTAATTTGAGGATTCTGAGACCATCTCTCAACCAACTCTCATTCCAAGGTCCTGCTTCCTCCAAGTTATGAAACATGGAATGAAACCGTTTTCTCAGCCTCAAGAGGTTCTGTCTACGAATCAGCGGCAGCAACAAAAAGCAGTGACTTAGAATCTGAAGCCCCCATTAATATATATTCAGTAGACGAGCTGATCCACTGAGTCTTGGATCCAGTTCAAGTCACAGTCGAATGTCAAAAGAATGTGCCAGCTCTCTTCTGAAACTTTATTATCGTTATTAAGAGTGCTTTTCTCTGTAAGATGCAACATATTATTAGAGACGAAACCCTGACAGATACAAATTTGGAGGGAAATCTGTCTGTATGCCAGATGCCTAAAACAAACATTTAGATTAAGAATGCACATTTGAAAGGATGGGTAAATCATCTCTATCACTTTTATTCCAATGTGTCTACTTATGATTGCATTTCCTGACATACATATTTTTGCCAAATTCCTTTTTTTCCCCTATGTCCCCTATATGTTGTTCTGAAAACTATACATTTTACCATCAACCATCTGTACTCCTCTCTGATTTATTCTTACTATAAGAGGTTTTGTCAAAAAAAAATGTTATCATTTTCTATGGTATGTCATTGTGGTTTGGCATCATAAAATATAGCCTCTACATTTATTAACCTCAGATACCTGTTGACCACAAAGATGGGCTCTACAACAAAAACTCTATTCTAACTGGAGGAAAAGTGAGCCTTCACTTAAAAAGAGCATGAGATTACTACAACTCAACAACAAAGATCAAGGTTCTATCTTACTTTTGATCATAAACATATGTCTCTATTTCCCATCTCTTTATTAAATTACTTGATAGATGACAGTTGCCACCTTGGCTTTCTTTCTACTAGAAAGAACATTTTTAGATATTTTATTGTTAATAAAAATATGAATTTGTAAAGCTGTTAAATCAATTTAACCTTGGCCCTAAAATGATCCTTTTGGAGTCTGAGAGTCCCTACCTCTTTTATTATGGTGGTTAACAATCAAACCACCTACTTAATCAAATAGTTAACAAAAATATCCTTTCCACCCTATGGTGAATTTTTCCAGAATACTGAAGATTTAATAATATAGGATTTAAAAAGACAATTTACAAGGAGCATGTAAGCTATAGAGATTTAAATGCAGGGATCATTTTAGTCGATTTTACTTTTAAACAATGAAAAGTGTCATCAGTATTCTGTCAACTTTGGCCAAGTAGGATCAGATGTTCATGTCAGCCATAGACTTTTCTTGGCCTTTTCTCCTTTTTGGCCCCTTAATTGCACACTATGCAAACTGCAGTAAAATACGCAACATGCTTCTTGAAATCAAATCCACTGGTAATCATTTCTAGGCTTTTTGCTTCTGTTAGGTCCTATAAAACAATAACATTAGTAATTCTCCCTAGAGACTACAAAAGGAAACACTGAATTGATTCCTTTTTCAAAGGTAATTCTTCAGATTAAAACAAAAAGTTCGGGGAAAAAATCAAACAAGAATTATTCCTCTTTTTGCATTTTCATAAATTAGTAATTTTAGATGTAAGGTATAGCTTTCAATTGCAATTCTTCTCCTCTCCACTGTCCCTCCTCCCTCCCCCCCCCAAAAAAAAAATCACACACACACAAAAAGAACATTACAGTAACATGATAGTGGCTCTATCTAACACTGTACCAGAAAAAAAAAATCATCTCACAGATGTTCTTCAAAACTACAGGCATTGATCACTTCGACTAAAGTCAGAGCATGAGAGAATTCAGAATCAATTCTATGCTTCATGCAAACACCGTAGACGCACGTTTGCTCAGTAGGGGAACCAAGTGATGTAGATTCTAGGTGGTGAAAGCTAAAAGATTCTAAAATTCCAGCAAACTTTAAAACTATGTCAGTTATAGAAGTAGAACACAAAATTCGAAGCCCATGCAAATTCTGTCACTGATGAGACGAAGTAAAGCATCCACAGCTGAACGTTTTATCAAGTCACTCGGTCACGCCCACTGGTCTTTTGGAAATTCAGCTCACTTCTTCACAAACACAGCTACTAAGCTTTCCAGGGACAGGGGCTGCGTTGGTGTTCCTCTTTGGGTAGATTTTACCAAGTGAATCAGATAAGGCTTGCCCCTTGGTCCACTGGTGCAGTCTGATCTCCTAATTGGGTGGTTCTCAAATTTTAGTACAAAGAGAAAACCCCCAGGGGAGTCCGTATAAGATGCAGATTGCCACAAGGCAACCTGGGGTCTCCCATCTCAACAAGCTATGCAGGCCAGGGAATTGTGATGCTGGGTATTCTTGGACCCCCAGTTTGAGGGACCCTGGAGGGATACCACTCATCCCTAGATCTTACTGAATAGGAAATGCTGGATCTTTGAACCACAACAGCTGGCAAGCAAGGGAAACACTTTGGGTAGGAAGGAATGATCACAGTAGGCTTGGCACACACAGTAGGCTTGGCACGGCGCGTTTTGGACAAGGGAAGAGGCAACAAACCTGGTTTTATTTCATGGACTCATCAGCCGGTCCTTGGCCCAGGAGCCCACACACACACTTCAGTCACCGTGTCTCAGACCCGAGACTTCCACCCCAGACTCACATTTAAACCACACAAGACATGCACCTACCCAGCCTCCGTTATCCTGGATCCAGGTGTGCAGGTGCCGGTTCAGGTACTCCGTCATCCACAGGGCGATGTTGTCCACCAGGGGCGACATCTCCCGGTTGACGCTCTCCACGCACATGACTCCGCCGAACTCGAAGAAGGCCACGATCCTCCCCCAGTTCACGCCATCCCTGAAGAGCTCCTCCACCACCGTGGCAAAGCGTCCCCTCGCGGTGAAGGGCGTCAGGTGCAGCTGGCTGGACATCTCCGCGAAGTCCCGGCGGTAGCGGCGGGAGAAGTCGTCGCCCGCCTGGCGCAGGGTCAGGTGGACCACAGGTGGCACGGGGCTGAGCGCCGGCCCCGCGGCGGCCGCGGGGGTGGCGGGGGGCGGCGGCGAGGTCCTGGCGGGCGCTGGGGGGCGCCCCGGCTGCTGGGAGGAGAAGATGCCCGGCGCCGCCGGGGTGGGCCCCGGGGGCGCGGCGCCCGCATCGCCGGCATCCCATTCGTAGCCCCTCTGAGACAGCTTATAGTGGATGTACTTCATCACTATCTCCCGGTTATCATACCCTGTTCTCCCGGCGTGCGCCATCCTTCCCCCGAGGAACAGCAGAGAGAAGCAGCCGGGTACCAAGAGCACCTCTCGCCCCCGCCCCCGCCCCACGTCCCCGCAAGAGGAAAAAAAAAAAAAAAAAGAATAGTTATAATCCAGCTCTTTTATTGGATGTGCTGTGCATTCTTGGATGAGGGGGTGTCTTCAGTCACGCGGAACATTTGATTCTGGTGTTTCCCTCTTGGCATGAGGCGCAGGAAATTTTTTTTTATTTCAATCCCTTTCGGATCTCTATTTCATGAGGCACGTTATTATTCATTATTGTCCATATCAGTCTACTTTCTCCGGGATCCTGAGAGGTTAAAGAAAAATTCGAAAGAATGATAAGTCAAAATCAGGTGCATTTTTTTTTCTTACACCGTATCAAAGCAGGGTTATGCACACTACAATCACGCGGCTAACAGGAATGTTAATTAAACTGCACATTAAACTCAGTCGAATACACTTAAAAGTTAAAATCTCAAATGCGTCTGTTAAAAGTTAAATTAAACCAATTTCCTGGGCAAATAACTTACTTGTGTTTTTTAAGGACGGCATGATCTTCTGTCAAGTTTCCTTTTTTGTGAAGACAGAACAAATGCGTAAGGCAAAGACCCCATCTATCTTCAGAAACTCCCGGTGGTAGCTGCTATGAAACTTCCAAATGAATCTGGAGGCGGGGGAGTGGTGGAAATGAGCAGAATTGGCAGATGGATTCTCAGACTTCTCCTTCGCAGAAATGTCAGAGCGTAGGAATCCCAACTGGAGATCTCAAGAGCACGAGGGGGAGAAGAAGAAAAAAGAAAAAAGAAAAAAAAAAAAAAAAGGCAGCGGCGGCAGATGAATTACAATGTTCAGTCCAGCATTTGCATAAGTCCTGTGATTTCCCCCCTCGCGGCAATAGACACGCGCGCACACATGCGCGGGCACAGGCATGGACCCCTGTCGGCGGGACCGCTTCCAGCCTCCTCGGGGGAGAGACAGGGATCAGGGGCCGGTGGACGCGCCGGCTACATGGGGCAGGAATCCGCTTCCGACTAAACTCCGAACGGCCAATGCATTTTTCCGAAAAAGCTGCTGGATAAATGAAGGCAGGACGCGCCCGGCCCGCCGGTGCAGAGCCGAGAAGCCCGCGCGCGCTGTGTGTGGTGCGGCGAGGGGTGGGGAGGAGGAGGTGGTGGGGGAGGGTTTTATTTTTTCCCTCTTTTCCTAAAAAGGATGACTGCTAAGAAGTTCTCCCCCCTGGACCCCCTCTTCCGCTGCACCCACCGGCGCACCCCGCCTCCGGGCTGCGCACCCTTTCTCCTCCTCCTGCTGCTGCGCCGCGGCGCTGGCGGCGGCCGTCTCCCCGCGCTCCCGCCCGCCCGCCCGCTCGGGTGGTGACGGCCGCGCCGGCGGGGAGGGCCCGGCGCCCGGCACCTTCGCTGGCAGAGGCGGCGGCGGCCGATCGGCGGGGAAACCGAGAGCGGAGGGCGGGAGGGCCGGCGGCGCGGGCGGGCGGGCGGGCGGGGAGGGGGCGGGGAGGACGGGGGCGGGGGTAGGGAATGGGGGGGCTGGCCTCTTACTTCATTCTCCGCTCAAACCGACTGGTTTCCTGTAGTACGTCACGGTTCATTCAAAAAAAGAAGAAAGAAAGAGCCCTCCTCGGAGCGGCCCCGCCGCCCCCTCCGCCCCGCTCCCTTTCCAGGGTTAAAGGAACCGCGATCGGGCCGGGAGCGGCGCGCTCCTCCGGGGGACACACGGCGCGCTGGGCCGAGGCCGGGGAGGGCGCGCCGGAGACGGCCCCCGCCCGCCCGCCCTCCGGCCCGCTCCTCCCGCTCCGCCCGCCCGGCCGGTGGGTGGCGCGGCCGGCGCAGGCCTCCCGCGCGGCCGCGGCGCGGTGGGTGTGCGAGGGCCTCCGGCCTGCGGCGGGCGCGCGAGGGGCCCGGGCGCCCGGGGAATCGCACGCGGGCAGGCGGCTGGGTGAGTGGGTGGGTGGGCGCACCAGGAAAACAAGTGCTGGGAAGGCGCGGGGGGGTGGGAGGGCGGGGGGATCGTCGCCATCCTTCCCAGCCGTGGTGTGTGGTGTGCACACACCCATCTTGTAACCAGCGCTGGTGGCCGATCTGACCCCGAGCGCTGGGACCTCCGCGCTGCCCTCCGGGAGAGAGGCGTCGCTGCACTTCCATTGGAGTCTTGTTTTATTTTCAAGTTGCTTCCTAAGGGTACACACGCAGAACACACTGTGGAGACCCCATCCATGACCAAGGCCAGACAGGTCTCAGCAGGCTGGCCGAGGGGCCGGTGGAGGAGAGCAGGGGCTTTGAAATGGTTCCCCTCTGCTTCCCGTAAATGCGGCCCTGGGTTGGGGCTGGGCTCTGAGAACGTCTAGTGACTTTCAGGCCTGCAGCCTCAACACCAAGTTGGGTGGGTTTCTCAAGGCCTCCACGGTCACCTAGCAGCCAATCCCAGATGGCCACACCTTAGGTTAGCTCCACATGCACACGCATTTTTAAATTCATCAGCATGAATAGCCCCTTGGAGAAAAGCCCAAGACGGCCATCACGTTGCACGTGCTTAACTATTTTTATCTCTAAGAGTCTGACAAATAAAGCTCCCAAAGGGAGGGGGGGGGGGAGATATGTTTACCAAAAGCCATAGCAGCTTACTTATTAGGGCCCAAGTATACATATGTAGGGACACTGGGTTAATGTGGTCATAGAAACATGACAAGTGCTGCACTTTGCATGAATTTGTTCAGACACTATATTTTGTCTTGTCCCTGGTCTGTAATCAAAGCATGTATTCGCAAGCAAAATACAAGCGCAGCAAATTATGTTCCTTCTTTTATCATTCCCAATCAGCCAATATGCCGGAAAATGGGTGCCTGCTCCAAACTTCGTGTCCAGGCAAGAGGGAAGGAAGACGCTCTGCTCCGTCTTCTGATGGCTATGACAGAGTCCCCTTTAACCCATGACAATGACGGGAAGGTGTTCTGGCCTAGAGATGAACATGGGTATAGATGGACCTGAGACATACATTCCTACAGAACTAGTAGAAACCCACCTAATGCCACAGCATTTTGGTTTGGGGATCTTCTCAGAACCTTGTATAGCTCCAGAATTAATGAAGAGGAATTGAAAGCCTTGATGCTTCTGAGACCCAGCATGGGAGTTGAGGAAATGAGAGGACAGAGCTGGAAAAGAGATTGTACTTCTGCAAAGGGGCAGCCAGAACGAAACATAACCCCATTCCCAGATAAAGAAAAGCTTCCTTATTCTTCCCTCCTTGGCTGCATAGAGCCTCACTTTACAGATGTCCCCAAACTGATTCCTTGGGTAGCATATTGACCATGACCAAAGCATTCTCAGGAGAGGTCTGCACGACAGTTCTTTGAATGGAAAGAGTGAAACGCTTCCTCCATTTGGATGCCAAGTTTCTTAGACTCCACTCTAAAGAGTGAGGTCAAGTATTCCTCAGAAATGTGTGCATTAACTCTTTGTCTTTGGGCATTGGTGAGGTGGCAGAGGGACCCTTGGCCTGCGTCAGGAGTCCAGAGTTTGAATCTGAGGTCTGTGACCGAGACCTTCCAACAACCTTCCAAATGTATGCACTGCGGACTTTTCATTTCCCAAGATGTCTTCCACTTCTAAGAGCCAATGGATGAGCCTTTTGCCAGCTTTGCCTGGCCGGGTTTTAGAAGGAAGGTAGCAGCAGGAAGAGAAAAGAACAAAGACAAAGACGCAGGGAGAGGAGACTGTACCCAGAGTCTCAAAGGCCTGTATTTTCCTTCTTTATTCTCGTTTGCCAAACAAAAAGCTTTTTATTGCCAGTTTTCGCCACCTACTGGTTGATGTTTAACAACAATCTTTCAGAAAGTTCTCTTCATCCACCACCAATATAAATATTTCCAAAGTTTATGAAATTCAAAAAGAACTAATCTAATCTGGATATTCTATCTCATATTTAATATAGGTAAGATGAGAGAGCTAAAATATAAAACATGACTCCAAAACATTCAGGCAAATGGAAGTAAAAATAAACCCATACGCAAAACAAACTGACTAGAGAAAGTAAAATCAAGTAGTCCCATAGTCTTCACAAAGGAAAAAATAAACTGCTTAAAAAACAACATTTCACAGACCTAGATAAACAATCTAAAACACTAATTTCCAATTTTGAATATTTTCTAAATTATTGTTTCCAGATTTATTGAAATAGAGTTGTCATAGTATTTTATACATTATTAATTCTTATGCTAAATAGCGCCACACTCTTTCAGATAGTTTGCATGCTTTGTTGCAATAATGTTACTAATGACTAATATAAATACTAACAGTAATATTCTTCCCAATTCACCTATGCTCCAGTGTCTTCTGCTGTAAGAGTGATCACATCTGAGTTGTCTGCTCTGTGCTCTCAAACCATCCTTGTCATTATCAGGAAACCTTTGCCAAATCTAAACCAACAAGCTTTGGTTTAACCTAGAAACCCACCTGGCTAATTTATAATGGGTCCTAAACCTCAAAACATGTTTATAATAATTAAGCAATAACCTTTGAAACTAGGCAATTGAACAGCAAGCAGATCAATCATTCTTTGTGCAAGTTTCATAGCAGGCAAATGATGCTTACTTTGGGTTTACAAAGGAAAGCACCGGAAATTCACTTGTGGTAATTTTTTCCTTTCCAATTAATGACTGCTTTTAAAGTGAAATAAAGAAGAGAAAAAACTTACACTTTTCAAATGCCTACTGCTCTCATTGGATTGAAACTGCACTAACAGAACCAAACAATATGAAGCACCATGGAAGTGAGGGGTTAACAATTAATTTACATTCTTAATGTGCAAAAAAACAAATGTTATTCTCTTCGCTAGTAGGCACAGAGCACAGTATCTCCCAGATATTAATTCCTGATGAACAAGAGTACTTACTGCGTTTGATTCCTAAGGCTGGCATGACAAAATACCACAACCTGGGGGCTTAAATCCAAAATCAAGGTGTGGGTGGGGCCATGTTG